ATTATGAAATAGTCGAAAGAAACTAAATAATTGTCTGCCTAGCATATATTGATCGTTAGCTAAAGACTTGCTTGATCGTGGACTGATCAGATATTGTAGCGATCCAGTCTTATATTTATTGCTAAGCTAAAAGATTAATAGTACGGAATCAATTGAGGTTTATGATCATAAAGAATGGCTTGATCGGTGACTGATCGGATATAGTAACCTCACTTTATCGATCAAGTCTCAAGTTTACAGATAAGCTGAAAGATTAATAGAACGGCTTATATTGAAAGCATTCAATCGAAGTTTATGATCCGTAGATCAAAGAATTGGTAGATCGGTAGCTGTCTAGACTAGATTTGGATCAAATGTGTATTGCAAGAGGAGACAAAGTGCAAGCCGATCTGCACGTCATGAATACATTAGTTCAGACCCTGCAATTAAGATCAGTTAACAGTAGTCTAGACTTGATAATTATTCATACAGCATATTGTGAACAATTGCATATGAAATTATATGGGCACAATTTGCGATTAGCATATAGCACTCTACTCCTCGCCTATCGGCTGACAAAAACTGTCAACGTTGGCTGCCATCCGATTTTAATCAGTCTGCAACAGAAGTGTGCCAGCCATGTGGCTCGATACGAATCCAAGTCGAAGTTGGAGTTGGAGTTGAAGTTTGGCTCAAGGATTTTGACAGCTAAGCTGACATGGCAAAAATGCATAAGTGAGCATGGTGGACACATTATGACGGACTGTTACACGACACATGTATGACCATATTTAGGAGGGTAGGGGGTGTGGCCCAGGTGAATATGGCAAAAAGCTCAAATGCAATGAAACAATCAATCAAAGCGCTGAAAAGGGGCTTGTCTAGAGCTGAGCTTGGGCTTGAGCTGAGCAGGAGGGAGGGAGGGTCAGTAGTGAGCGTAACGGTAACTCCAAAAAGGCACAAAATCAAATTACCAGCAATGATTAATCAATCAACAGTTGTTTGCTTGCCATACAGTAAAGCCTCAGCTCAATGCGATAGCCAACACGATCTCTGCTTCACTTGGCCTCGCTAGTGGGTGTGTGTATAGCTCTGTCTCCGGCTGTCTGTGTGCGTGTGTGTGTGCTGGCCAAGTGGGTGCGTTCTCACAGCTGGATGCCAATACTGACAATCACGATCACACACACACACACACACACTAACACACCTGTGTTGTAGACACCACGTGTGCGTTCCAGGCAATTGCAAATCAATGCTTCGCTGCGGCAGGAGCTTGCCTTTGGCTGTAGCCTCTTCCCTAAATGGTGCGATCTTACCTGGCCGGGTCGTGCCAAAAATGGGTTTGCAACTGGAATTCGCTTTTAGTCAAACAGCCGCAGCTGCAGCTAGCTTTGAGGCGCAGGTGGCAATTGGCAAGCAGCTGGCAACAGGCATCGGGCAACGGGCAACGGGCAACCGGCAACTGGCAACTGGTGTGAACAACTAGAAAGTTTTTTAGTCGAGCTGGAGCTCGTGAGAATCAGTGCAGCATAATTTATTGGTTGCGCGACCAATTCAATTTATGGCCGACTAATGAAAATTTGACAAATAGCAAATGGCCAAGCAATTTCATTCTAGCCCAGGCCAATAACATTCATCATGCCGCTGCGCAAACGTTTCCGCATAGAAATTGATTGACAACTCGAGGAGGAGGAGCTGCAGTTCGAGTTCGAGTCGGATTGGAGCTGGAGTCGCAATCTGTGAGCCAAAATGGCAACGGCAGCCAAAACACGTCAATTTCGAGGCCTGCCGATTTATGGGCGCCCAGCTTCAAGCCAAGTCGTGACCCGCGTGCATTGAACTTTGTTGTTGTAGTTGTTGCTGTTGCTGTTGCTTTTTGTTGTCCGATCTTGTCTGGGGTATGAAACGAGACGCTTTGAAATCTACCAGCACGAAATGCAATTTCCAAAAGAGTAGAAGAAGGAGAAGAAAAAAAAAACGTTATTGTGGGAGCTGAACATAATGAAGCCGTTGGTCATTGGCCAAAAGGTTTGTTTGCTCTGTCAATCATAATTTGTGTGCTTCTTTTGCAGTTGAATGTGTGCGCTGCACTCGTTTTCCCACATTTTATGGACGGCTGCCCCTATTGCTCTGGCCCTGGGAAAATCTCTGGCGTAACTGGAGGCTCGCTTGTTGCGCAACAATTACTCGGCTTTTGGTCTGGCTTGGTTTGGCTTTGTTTGCCCTGGCCGAGTCCGTCAACATGACCAATTGGCAGTCCAGTTGGCAGTCGCAACCCCCACGCAGTCGGCGGCAACACCTTCGCTCTGCTTACGCTCTGCTGCACTCGCTTCCTAACCAAGGTGCAAATGCAACTGTCGAGGGGTTGTCTGACTTTTGAATTGTTTTACGCTTGTTTTTCGGTCAACTCGAAAACGGAACTGCGCTAGATTGGCCAAAAATGTGTGCTCATCCTCTAACCAATTTTCACACATTGTGTACGCAGGTGCTTAACAAATATTCAGGTAATATGTTAATTTTTTTATGCTAAACAGCGGAAATTAAATTCAGTATTTTGACTTGCAACGCTTCATTGAACTTTGACTTGGAAAATTTTGTGTACCCATTCACATAGCACATCGCATAAAATTAACAGCGATTCATATTCAAATATTTCATTGGCTGAAGGCCAGTTCAATTGTTTCTTCTAATCATCCCCTAGATGGCGCCACTTTAGCCAACTTCGCCTAACGGCAAAGCGACAACCGTCTCTGTGAGTTTGCCTGCGCATAAGTGTTGAACTGAACGAACATTCTAACTGAACGAAACAAACAAATATTTTGTTGCATAATTTGAGGCCGTTTCTGACGACAGGTAAAATATAAATAAATATTTAATAAAAACGTGCTACCAAGCAATATTAATGCAAATTTAACGCGTGTGTGTGTGTGCTTGTGCAAAAAGTGTGTTAAGCAC